TTTGGTATTAGCAGCTGATATCTGAAGTGAACTTCTTTGTTAGGATGTATTTTGTCAATTTAATTCATACTGAAAGTGTTGTATATGACATCAACTAAACTGTTTGTGCTCGCTTACATGATGTTTTTGTGCAGAGTACAGCAAAGAGAGAAAAATGATTATATTTCAAACCTTGTGTGTCTGCATGTGTTTCTTCACGTTGGACTTCTGAGCAAAGGCTCGTCCACAGACGATGCACTGAAACGGTTTCTCTCCCGTGTGACTTTGACAAGAAAAAAAAAGAGAAGTTTGAATTGTTCTTCGTCCAATCAGGAGAGAGATACAGTCTGATGTGCTGGCATGAAAGTCACCTTCTAATGTGCTGCTGAAGATCAAAGTTTTTGGAGAAGATTTTGTCGCAGAAGTTGCACTTCAGCTTCGGTCCTTTTCCTTTCAGCTGCTCTGCTGAGGAGAGAAGATTTATCTTTGATCATTATGAACTTTATTCACATCTATGACCATTTGTGGGGTTTTTTTCTCCTCAGGTTGTTGGATCAAAAGAACATTTAAAAATCCTCACATACCTGTGGCTCCATCAGGGCTTTTTTTGCTGCTCCTCGGCCGTTTGGGAATGATGACCTTCTCAAAGTCGCCGAGCTCCGTCAGGTTGGTGGTGATGCTGCAGATCTTTGTTTTGGTGCATTGTTTCCCAGGACTGTATACGGGAGGGGTGGTGAACGACTGGCTCTCCACACACTGACTGGGAACCTGAAGACAGAAACACAGACACAGAACTTGTCATTGTTCGACCTTTGTTTGATCACATATGCAAGCTTTCTTAAATTCTTGTTTCATTTATGGCCAAAAATTTCATTTCATCACATTTTAAACCTTTATTTATTTTCCAAAGGACACTGAGACACCGTCGAGATTACAAGCACAGTAAAAAAAAGCAAAAACACAACAAACACTCAGAATCAGAGACAAAAACCTAAACTCTGGAAGAGAGGGACGAACTCCGATCCTTAGAGTTTGCTGATTTACCGCGTTCAGTAAAAGCTCGAGGGACTTTAAGAACAAGCCAATCAACAAGCTTGTTCAACTCATATTATTCCTACCAAAGAGAAGAAACGAATGAAAAACAACTTAACGCACTTGTACAGGATGAAAAGGTTGCAGTCCAAGGGTGTGGATCTCTGCACCGCCACCGCCCGCCATGTGGGGCAGCGTGCTGTACACCTGCACCACAGAGTTACTATGGCTGGATGGCACCTGTGAAGAGAGCGGCTGCTGCTGCTGCTGCTGCGGCTGTCCAGTCGGCAGGGGGTGGGCTTGTGTCTGACTGGAGGGCAGGGGGTGGGAGGCATGCTGCTGGTGCTGCTGCTGGTGATGATGATGATGGTGGTGATGGTGGTGCTGCAGGTAAGACACACCAGCTGTGTGCATGCTCAGGTTACTCTGCAATACAAAAAAAGAAGGAAGCATGTTTTTTTAAGTGTTTGAGCTTCAAATAGAAATAAACCTGGAATCATGATGTGATGTTTCATGGAGGTTAAGGACATACAGATGTGAGAGAAGTCCAAACATCTGCTGCTTGTGTCGTTCCGTCTTACCTGTATGGGCGCCTGCATGCTGGCCATGGGCTGGTCGATGGAGGTGAAAGCTGAGATTGCCGACATGAGAACATCGTCGCTGACCAGCACATTGCCCTGGACCAGAGTGTGTGTCAGCGGAGAGGGAGGGACTGTGATGTAGGTCGATACCTGGTGGAGGCGAGGGACGGAAAAAAATACAGAAAATGTTTAAGTTGTAAATAATTTCAGACCCAACCATCTGCTCTAATTATCATTAAAAACAGTAGTGATCAAACAATTTGTAAATCATCCTGAGGAATAAAAAACACCAGTCCTCCTCACCTGTCTGTTTGCGGGAGTCTGTGGTACGGAGCTGATGGAGGGCACGGGGGTGTACGCGTTCGTGGAGGCCAAGGACACTGTGGACAGGGAGGGGGCGCTAGACTGGCACTGCTCCCTCTTATGAGTCATGAAGGCCGGGAGAGAGTTGAACTGTTTCTTACACTTCCCGCACAGAAACACGTCCTCGTCGTCTGCAGGGCGGACGAACAAGAGGGGAAAGTTAGAATAACAAACTGTCAGCGGTCTGAACTGTCACAACCTGCAGAACTTATTCACATATTTGAAATATTCAAATAAATGTATTTCTGTTTGCTGTTTTTATATAGCTGGTTTCTGCTGGGAGACATCAGTTTTCTGTTGTGTGTTTATATCATCTATTGTGTTTATTGTTCTGTCAAGCACTTTAGGATGCATCGTTGCACTAAAGGTGCTTTTTAAATTATGTTTTATATATATATTAACTTCTTTCTTATCAAGAGAAGTAAAACAGCCTCAATATGGGAATCATCAAAGATCAGGTCAGTGCAGAAACAACACAGCAAGGTGCTTTTACTGACGCTCCCTTTGGACAGACAAATGACAAGCTCTCTATCTTTTATATTAAAATGAAAAAGTTTGAAGGTGCCTTTTGATTTGGAGTCATTTCTGATCTTTGATTTACATTTTTATCATTGTTTTTAAATGAGGATCATCCCTGTTTTTTTTTTGTTGTATCTCACTGATTTTAATCTGTTTTGTCTACTGCACACTTTGTTGTTTTACCATACAAATGTAACATTCTTGCTGCTCCCCCCACATCCTCCAATCTGCCAACACCAACCTCCCCCGAACCCCCCTGACTAAGCTCTGCTCTATGGGGGGGACAGGGTTTTCTATTCTGCAGCCCCACGACTATGTAATTCTCTCCCTGACCACCTGAGGGCCCAACAGACTGTGGGAAAAAAGAGCTTTCTCTTAAAACACTGCTCTTAGATGTTTTATGCTCATGTTTTTACCTCTGCCTGACATTACCCGTTAGTTAATTGTTGTTTTTATGCTTTTTCAAATTGTAGCACTTTGAGATTTGCTCCAAATGTAAAGTGCATTTTAAATAAAATGTTATATTGTTATCATTTTGGAACTAGTGCATTTTTGTCTCCTGTCTAGTTTCAATCCTCAGGGAACACTTTGGTGCGACAAAAATAAAGCTGAGTTGAGTGTGACCACAAACATGCTCGATTTAAACATTTCTGACACAAGCATGACAGAACATCAGAGGGATAAGTTGTTACCGCTGGGCTGTCATTGACTGTATTTGCTGTACACACCCATAGACTGGATGGTGGACGTCCCAGAGACATTCTGATTGTTTGGGTCAGGAACTCCGCCTTGGCCATCCAGCAGAGACTGGACCGCCAGGACTGTCTGGTTGTCCATGCCTGAAGAAGACAAAGAAGAAGAAGAAGGAGAAGGAGAAGGAGAAGAAGGAGGAGAAGGAGAAGAAGGAGAAGAAAGAGAAGAAGAAGAAGAAGGAGAAGAAGGAGAAGAAGAAGGAGAAGAAGGAGAAGAAGGAGGAGGAGGAGAAGAAGGAGAAGAAGGAGAAGGAGAAGAAGGAGAAGAAGGAGGAGGAGGAGAAAAAGAAGAAGAAGGAGAAGAAGGAGAAGAAGAAGGAGAAGAAGGAGAAGAAGGAGGAGGAGGAGAAGAAGGAGAAGAAGGAGAAGGAGAGGCAGGAGGAGGAGGAGGTGCAGGAGGAGGAGGAGGAGGAGAAGGAGAAGAAGAAGAAGAAGGAGAAGAAGGAGAAGAAGAAGAAGAAGAAGAAGAAGAAGAAGAAGAAGGAGAAGGAGAAGGAGAAGAAGGAGAAGGAGAAGGAGAAGGAGAAGAAGAAGAAGAAGGAGAAGAAGAAGAAGAAGAGGGAGGAGAAGAAGGAGAAGAAGAAGAAGAAGGAGGAGGAGGAGGAGGAGAAGAAGGAGAAGAAGAAGAAGAAGGAGAAGAAGAAGAAGAGGAGGGGTAGGTTGTGTGGGGGGTGTTATTGCTGTTATACCCATATACAAGCAATGCTTTCAGCTTGCTGTGAATCCTGTACGATTAACACAAAGTTATTTTCAGTCCTTAAAATAATGAAGGAAACATAAATTGTGTTTTTATCAAAAATGTTTTGCTGCAAAAACATTATCATTCAGTCGACTTATATTTATCCATGTCGTTATGTTGCCTCAGTTTAATAAGATGAAGACAATGTGGAGTCACATAAGCTCAGAATAATAATCAATGTGTTTGTTTACAGTCACAGCCCCTCTTCCCTCTCTGTGCTATTCTGATTGTTATAACAGAGATGTTAGCATCAACATCGTCCTCTGCACATTGAAATGTTCCTCTACTGCTGACTCTGTCAACAATTCACATTTTCGTTTAATTATAGTTGTACTTAAGGGGTAATTTACAATTTTGTTCCTACCTTCAAGCACTTCAAATATTGCCTGCGCCATCTTGTAGCTCTTCTGCTGCGCGATCGGCGCTCGATTAGCAGGGTCTGCCTGTTGAGGTACACTCCCTTCACCTCAGAGGACAGACAACAAAAACTATAACAAGGAGAGACTGAGTAAAAGCGAAATTTGATAAATTACTATCACATAAACAATAATCCGACCGAAGGAAATTAATGTAATAGTTGTGGGGCTTTTTTCTTTGTCTTGGACGAGGTGATCAATTTGATGTATCGCTTTATATTTTTTTAAAGTGTTTTAATGTAAATGTACATTAATGAATGTAAAACTTTGCTTGAATACAATGATATGTAATATATAAGAAGAAGCTCAAAATTATAAATAATTTCATCTTAAATAAATCTGCAAATATTTTGTAGTACATATGTAAACATTTCGAGAAAAGTTAAGCACAATTTACATCGATTTACATCTTTAACAAATATTTTTTTTTTGGTAGATCCTGAACGCATCATGTGAGCGATGACTCTGAGTTCGATAAAGTGACAGACGGCCGTTTCCACCAATCAGAAGCCTTTAAATCCCGCCCTACGGAAAGAACATTTCACTGACCAATCAGAACCTTCGAATCGGCGCACGTGTCTGTTTCGCGGCAAAAAAGATTTCGCGCGAAAACCGTCCCGACCCTTGTTTCGATGTAGATCAGCTGGGACAATAACAACAAGAACAGCCGAAAACGGGGTCCGGAAGACACTTTCACACCCGGACCGCACCCGATGCGATCCACCGAAGGACCTACGGCTCCTTTTTGGAAAGAAGGTGCCGGTGTTTCACCGATTTATTTCCTCACATTTCCCAGTTTTGTCGGACTGCTTCCTGCGTGCCCCAACAAAACGAGGGGGCAGAAGAAATGCGGCTAATAACTTAGCTAGCTAGCGTGCTAATTTGCCCTATATTCTCACATTGAAGGAAACAACTGTATGCTCATTTAATCTAACTATCGCTTTATTATTTATACTCTTATATATGTTTGTTTTTTAAATGCGGCGATGCCCTTTACTCTTAGTATGTATTTTATTTCGATAGCTCACTTATTAGAAAGCTCTTATAAAGTTTTAATAGCCAATTAACTAAGCTCTCTCTTATGTATACGTAGACCTTAAACATTTATTTACCCTCACATGGGTGGTTTTGTGGTTTGTTTGTTCCCTTGTTATTCTTTGTTGTTAGACAGAAGAAGCTAGCTGGTTAGCAGGGGTCGGTAGCTGTGTTGGGGACAGTGTGGCCAGGCCTCACGTCTGTTCTGAACTGACAGGAGAGATGAAAACAAAAGATTAGCCTGCTAGCTCGCTAATAACTCAACATTGTACACCTTCCACGGATGATTTGCGACCCTTTTGCTTTTTGATAATCGATCAGCGGCTGAGCCTCAAGTCGCTGAGTTGGCATGTGTTTAGCAATATAGTTTGATTTGCCAAATTTCCTGTTTGGCAGAACATCCTGTGCTGTCGTGTCATTATCAGCCCACAGCTTACATTAGGAATATTACAGGCTGACTGGTTACTGATCATGTTAGTAATCATGTCTTTGTCGTAGCTTGTTTGTTAATACGCAGAGTGACATTAGAGAAAAGGGAACTTCATGGAGAAATGCTCAAGCTGCCTTAAATTCTTTGAGTAAGGCAAGTCCAATCAGGCGTTGGTAGTTCAGATCAAACTTAAAGGCTTCATAGTGACACACTGCCATGTCAGAGACTCTGATAACAGGGCAGACATCCGAGGATCTGTTGGCTGACTTTGAGACTCTGCTGAACTCTGGGAGCATCGACCTGAGCGAAGACCACCAGATAGTGATCATCACCAGCCCCAGCAATGAGGGACTCCACCCGGCCGCCGCCCCCACCAGCACGGGGGAAATCCTGCTGTTTGCCACCCCGCAGGGCCCCGCTGACGTGGGGATCCAGGACAAGAGGCGACCAGCTCTGGGGAGACCTCCGGTGAGGACGGGCGGGTGTGGGAAGAAGTGAAAGAGAGAGATAAGAGAAGTGGTCAGCTGGCGGTTCCCTAATCCCATCCCATCCTTAATTGTGATGAAATCTCTGATCTGATTGTGCTCGTGCCCTGTGTTACAAAGTCCAGCTACCTGTTGCTTCAAGACCTCTCACTTTCATTTCCACCTTTTAACACATTGTGATAGTATCTTGTTTATTATTATGCTGTCTACTGTAGGGTTGTCCTGATACCAGAATTTTAAACTTCAACATGATACTTTTAAGAACCGAACAACATCAACATCTGTTCCTGTACAACAACAACAACAACAACAAAATAATACCCATATTGGGTCATTTCTTTCTTGTTTTTATTGACCAAAAATGCATGCTAACTCTTGCACACTGTCTAAATTGCACAAATATGTTGGAAATATATTAGTACACTTCAGACAGTGCGATTATCTCCTGGTTAGAAATATGATGCATGAAGAAGTGTTTTCTGCTTCTGAACTTTTAGACACTATATCAAACGTTGAAATAACAGAGATTGTATTGTTTTAACTTTTTTGTATTTCTGCAGGTAAAAAGGAAGCTGGACTTGGATAGTGACCATCAGTATGTCAGCACAACTCGACCGTCCATAGGCCAAGCGCCGCCCTCCACACCCGCCCCGCCCAGAGGTACAGCCGCAGCCGCACACCGGCTCCCAGCTTATTCTGCTGACTTTCATTGTTTCCCCCGAAAATTCACAGCAGGAGAAGCAACACGTCAGCTGCACACGTGGCTTACATCCATACATCCATTCATGCATCCATACACACACACGGTGACCTTTGCTCCCGCCCTCATTGTCCTAAAAAACAGCTGTCCTTTTGAGAGCGCAGACAACAGCCTGCCAGCACGCCTGAGTCTTCACTGGGCGGACTGGTAATTAAAGTTCTGGTCTGTTCAAATGACAAAGGATACAATAAATCACACAGGAAGATAAAAGGTGTCATTATGTGTTAATTACTGTATGTAAGTTGTTGATTTTCACAATTTAAATCCAGAATTTTCCTTAATGGGATCCTCTAAGCCGTGTTGGGACTAACTCGTTTCTGTAACGCCACTTCTATTTGTGCTGGTAACAAATTAGTAACCTCCCAGACTGAAATATCTGTAACAGTTGCTGACATTTAAACGCACTTATTGCGCGTCACTTTATTTGAAACGGCAGACAACAAGCGGGTTAGGTTACACTAGCGACAGGACAGCAGCATCCTGGGAGAAAGATTGTTGCGCGCTGTCAACAAACACAGACAGTGGATCGTTCAGCCGAGAGCTTTCTGTCTCAGAAATACCGACATTGCTTCCTCTGCTCGAGTTTAACAACAAGAATAAAGTGGTGAGTTGTTGTTTATGTTTAGTAAGCAAAACTTGTCTTACAAGACCGAAGCACATACTTAACATACTTCTACTACAGAGACCCAGGTGCAGCTAAAGTTATATCTGTAGATCGAGGAGGAGACACTCCATACAAACAGCTGGCTTGATTTAAAACACCTCCTGCTCCATGATCGATAACTTTTGAGTCTGTCGCCTTCAGGGATCTAATCGGTAAAACACCTACACATTGAGAATGACTTTAGTGTTCTCGGTGCTACTGTGTGCGAGTCGTCACAGCTCAATTCTGCCACAACACTAATGTGAACATTTAATGGACATTAAATGAGGATTGAAGCAGAAAAAGGTGCCCAACTGTGCCTATTAGATAGACCTGGAGGGTAAGAGACAAAAAGATTTACAAGTTTAGTTGTTAGTTTGAAGAAAGCTGCCGATTGCTGTCATGGTTGAGATTGATACAAGAACTAATAGTCTGAGTGATATCACTCTGATGGGAAATTAACTTCAAACTGTAAGCGTACAGTAGCCTACTTTTGACATTTTGGATTTAGTTACCGTTTTTAACGGATCACACAAGAGACGTGTTCATTGTGGATTTAGGAGGCTGATTGTGAAAGGAGGGAAATGTTTGTTTTTTTTTTCTTCTTTTTTTTTACAAAACTGTTTATTTATTGTGAAACAGGAAAATGGCTTAAGACATCACATAAGGGAGGAACCCACGGTGTGACAGTAGGTTATTTTAAACTGGAATGAGGTATTGAAGATCTTTTCTTGGAAGTAGATGTTGTGGTATTGAATCACATGTGTGTACATTTAACAAAGAACATTAACAAGACACACAAATAGTCATTGAGTAATGATTGTGGCTGGTTGTCTGTCTCTATATGTCAGCCCTGTGATTGAACAGTCCAGGGTGTACCCCTCCTCTCGCCCAATGACAGCGGGGATCGGCATCAAGTCCCTCTCCACCCCAAACGGGGAAAGCTGTAAAGATGATAGATGGATAATTCAAATAAAGAGAGGCGTTATCATTCCTCTCCTGTCGCTCCATAATCCCTCAGTAAGGAGAGAACGACTGCTCTTCTTCTGTGTCCCAGCCGGGCAGAGTGGTTGGAGGACCCTGCCTCTTCTCTCGTATTCACAGATCTGGCAGTGGTTGATGTTCTTAGAAGACCATTTAAAATGACTTTTTTTTTTTTTTTTAATCTTCTGCTTCAGAGGAAAGACTCTCCCAGCACAAGAGGAACTCTGAGTGATGTAACAGAAGTTGATTAGGTTAACATGAGTCGTCTTTAAAACCTGTTTTAAAGATTTACTGAGACAGTAAAAGTCAAGTCCTTCTCTCTCCCATCTCTGTCAATGTCAAGAAACAAACCACACACAGGCCCAACCACAGTGAACTTCATTTTGTTGTTGTGTTTCAAGTTGCTTTACCAAATAGTGGCAGGTTTATGTTATCACCAACTTCCTGCAAACAGATTTAAAGGTCCTCAAAGGCCTTATGTTTCAGGCAGGAGCTCGTTGCTGGGCAGATGCATTTAGAGATCATCTCCTGAAAGGATGTTAAATCTGTTTCATTCTCTCCCCCTCCCCCGTCTCTCCGCAGTTCCTCGAATCACGACCGAGAAGTCCCGTTATGACACGTCCTTGAACCTGACCACCAAGCGCTTCCTGAACTTGCTGTCCCAGTCTGCTGACGGCGTGGTGGATCTTAACTGGGCCTCGCAGGTCCTTGACGTCCAGAAGAGGCGCATCTACGACATCACTAATGTCCTGGAGGGAATCCAGCTCATTTCCAAGAAGTCCAAGAACAACATCCAATGGCTGTGAGTACAAGAAGGCCCTGAGTGTGTGAAACATTTGAGGTTACAAAAATAGTTTTTATGAAGAATACTTATAAAACAAAACATCTGACTTGTGTAAAACATTTCAGGGCAAATCAAGAGAACGAAAAGATGAATTACAGCCCATAAGCAGGATGTGCTTTCTCTTTTTTTAAGATTATTTTGTGGGGGGGGGGTTATGCCTTTTTTATTGTACAGAAGGACAGTGGATTGAGTCTGAAACAAAGTGAGGAATGACGCGGGTAAAGTGTTGCAAGCAAACCCAGGACTTCTGCTTCGAGGACAATAGCCTCTGTACATTAGTTGTGCAGCATAACCACTAGGCGTGTGCCCCTGAGGATGCTCCTTTCTCAATTTCATTCTAATTTTTCTACATTTTCCTCCCCCTGCAGTGGTAATCGAGTTGATGCAGCGCAGGTTGCCCGCCATAAGGAGTTGCAGAGGGAGGTGTGCGACCTCACGGATGCCGAGGAGCAGCTGGACGAGCTCATTACTAAATGCAACCTGCAGCTGCGGCTGCTCACAGAGGAGCCACAGAACAAGAAATATCCTTTTTGACCGCCTGTAGGTTCATTCACTGATGCTTAAACTACAAACCAACAGCAGCCTAGATCCGTTTTGCTACACATCGATTTATAACACATAAGAGGTCGTATGTTCTCGTGATGATGACCCATGATGGGATGAATGGAAAGGGAGTCTATACACGACAATGGGACTTCACTGCAAACTGCATTCAGTTGTTGTGTTAATGTAAAGTGAATTTAATGCAAATGTTCTGCATGGCACATGTTAGACAGGAAGTGAACGTCTTCTGTACAAAACACAGATAGCAACAGATGCATGGTCAAAGGTTAGACTAAATCAGGCAGGTCAGATACCGTTGCCATGGCGCCCTTGAGCAAGAGAAAATCAAAGCATGTGTATATTATATAGTGTGACATCTGTAGCTGAGGGGGAAAAACAACAGTATTCTCTTAAGAAGCTTATCAGCTTTTGTCGCTAATTAAGCATCATGTTTGTGCCTTTTTCATGAGTTCATGTTCTTGTTCTCTTTCATTTTTATATTCTCTTCTCTCTCAAACATTACTAATTAATTTGCCAGCTGGCATGGGGAGGCAAAGGGTTTTTTTCTTTACACGGATGAAGTCCCAGACCCTTCAGTCCAAAAGCTCCAGCACACCGGGTTAATGGTGAATCTGCAGGCCGTTGTTTGGTGATGTTTAATGCATCATTAGCTCGGCTTGAACCGTGCCCGCTGCTGTTCCACCGATGGGGTGTCGTGTTGAATTTACCGCAGAGTCTTTGGGTGAGAGAGATCGCTCTGATTGGCTGTTTGGCAGTGCACAAGAAGAGTAAAGATTAAAGGGGTGGGATTAAATAAGTTTTCCTTCTTTTCAGACAACTATGTAATTTCTTTCGTTTGTTGTCTATTTGTTTTGAATTGTTTCTATATATTTTTAACTACAGCTGTTGTGTAGTGTTTGTGTTTTTTTTACATGTCTGTAATAATAATTTGACTAAACAATCAACAGGCGCTGAGAAAAGCACACACACAACTTTCCCATTTTTATTCCATAAAAACTGACACCTGGCTGACCACACCAGCGCCATTTACACCCCTCTACCAGACATGTTCTCAACTACAACAAAGCGTATTACAAAACCGTCACTGTGGGGAGCAAAGGGTTGTGAAATAGGAAAATATTTCATGTTCTAAGTCTCACAGTCTCCACATGTGGATACATTTTATTCCTTAATCTTTTTGGTCTTCACGTTGGGCTACGTGCGCTGCCAGGACTTAAGGCAATCCTTTGATTCCCCTGACCAGCTGGTCATGGTGATCAGAGCTCCACCAGAGACCCAGATGCAAGTTTCAGAACCCTGCAAGGTATGGACCTAGTCCGTTACTTAACTCTATATATCATGTTTTATTCCAGGTTGTTTTAAATGGCTGTGCATGTATTTGTCTCCCAGGGTTACCAGGTGTCGCTGAAGAGCACGCGGGGTGCTATCGACGTCTTCCTCTGTCCAGAAGACAGCTCCGGCGTCTGCAGCCCAGTGACAGACGGTAGTCCCTCCAAACCCAATGCTGACTCTCCTCTTGTCCCGCCTCCTGCACAACCCACAGACCAATCACAAGCCAGAGCATCCACAAACACCCTGGATGTGGGTTTATCATCACCAGCATCCACGTCGTCCACGGTGACGGCAGCCTCCCAGCAGGACCCGTCGTCTCTGGTGTTAGGAGGGGACACAGGTGAGTACTCACATGTCTGTAAATATGTTTGTATCTATTGGATGTACTTTAAAGAACGCTGTAAATGCTGGTTGCTCTGGTTAATATGAACTCATGTTAGGTAAATAAAAAAAAATCCCAAGTGTGTTACAAGAAGATGAAGCCAACTTCTGTGCAACACTGACCTAATCCTCATCCTCACTGATGTACATATCATTTAACATCAGGGTGCCCTATTAGCTTTAAATTCTACTTCTACCAAAGTGAAATATAGAAAGCCTGGCTTGCTAACTTGAGGAAAAAGTTTGAACTTTCTTTTTTAACTTTAACTAGTTTTCATGATGGCAAATTTTCAATCCAACCAAAACTTTCATGCCTCCTGGAGTAAAACGCTGACGGGGCGGAAGGCCACTGTAGAAAACAACACAAAGCTGTGCACCTCCACAACATTAACCAGAGTCCTATCAGTCACACTCAAGCATTCAACTAATTGATCAGGTCATAGACTAGCCTCTGATCCGCCATACAACCAAATCACCTCCCCCATTTCTGTGTAGATAGTGGCACATGTAGACAAGCAGGAAGGAGGCAGACACTTAATGTGGTGAGGTTGGATCCTCAGTTTTCCCTTTAATAGTTGATAAAACAAGACTCTTGTGAGAGAAAAACCGTGATTCACATTTAAGCAAAAGTCGTGCTCAATCACATGTATTTGTGTGTAACTATTTATTGATCTAAAACTGTCACTGTGACTTCACATTGTTTCACCTCTGTAACAGAATCCCTCCTTGGAGGCGACCCGTTCTCCGGCCTCGCAGACATGCCCGATTTTAACTTTTCACCCCTCTCCTCCTCGGACTTCCTGAACGGCGAGGGCTTTCCCCTCCCGCTGGACGGCTTCATCAACCTATCCCCCCTCACAGTCATGATTACCACTTTGGACTAGAGGACAATGAAGGCATCAGTGAACTGTTTGACTGTGACTTTGGAGACCTTTCGCAAGTTCTGGGCGACAGTTAAAGAAGAAGAAGAAGAAGGAGGTTCAGCTTTTAGGACTTTCTTCTTTCTGTTGGGGCTTCTCAAGGAGTGCAGGAATTTCAGGACAAATCTTTGTCAAAATCTCAGCCTTCATATTCTAAGCGTGGGTTGTGGGAGAACGTGTAGTTATTACCTTGGTGAACCCGACAACAACCACCCAAATCTCAAACTGGCCCCAAATTGTACAGCACACTATTAGCACTTCTTTTGGCCATTGCAACATTTTAGACCAAGAATTGAGCTCTAGTATAGCTATTTAAATTATTTATACGAATGCTATTTTGATATTTTGTACCAAGTGAGCTTTTTTTGTTATAATTGATGATGTTATATCCGAGTGGAGAGCGCAGGTAGGTAGGTGTGTGTGTGTATATATGTGTGTGTGTGTGTGTGTGGAGTATGGATTCATAGGGCTGGTTTTTCCTTAACACTGATTGGCTCAAATCTAACTACTTATACTCCTCGTCTCAGCGGCCATGTTGTGTTCTGTAAGGTTGCATTTTTCGGCAAAGTCAGAGAGTTTGCACCCAACAGAAGCTGCCTCTATGGAACCAGTATCACAGGAAGTGCAGGTTCAGTGATGGGCCGTCCAGAAGTGTCTTGGTGCAGTTTCAAATATATATTTTTCACAACTATAGAGATGATCATAAGCACAAAGGTAAAAGCTTCATGATAATCAGATTTGTCAAACACACTGGAATCCTTTAAGACTGGAGTGAAATTCGAGGTTTTATTGCCCAATCGAACGACTCGATTTGCACATGTTCCACGGCGGATTATTAAATGTACATAAAGACAGAGAGACTGTGTATAAGAAGTGGACATAGCCACCTTAATCATCACCCATTTGTGTGGAACTACCTTTTAAAAAGACGAAAGTTTACATCTTTGGTGTCACCGTTTTCTTTCTTTTGAGCTGGTGAAGATGGAGGCGTTAGCAAACATTTAGCTACCAGCTACTGCTAGCTTAGTTAGCAAGCTGCAGCCACACCTAACTGAAAGCTCATTCGTCTTCACTTAAAACAGGATTCAAACAAAATGTAAAGACAGAAACGTTACTTCCTTGTCCTCAAAGTGTAACAACAAAGTCACATTCTGGTTGCCGTGGTTTCAACTTGTCAATCACAAGTTCACATGCACCAAAGCATACAGCGCTTTACAGCTGGATTACTGTTCATTTACAACCACAAAATCCATCTTTCTGATTAATGTGGCTTAACATGGAAACTTGTTTTGCACAAATGTAAACAAACTCTACAAGCTAAGATATTGTTGACTTGTGACAGTTTACAGCCGTTTACTATTGCAATACATTAGGTTCATCAAATACAGTTTGTAAGTTCAACTAACTTATATTTAAAAAAAAAATTGAAATTAGATCTAAATAATTCTAATTTGTATATAATGCTTGACTGAAATGATTTTAAAATGTACTTAAGAAAAAAAACTAAGTACCTCCCAGTAGTTTTCCAAAGTACCCAGAGGAGGTACTTTGACCTCAAATTGAAAAATGCTCTTATATATCACCGTAAATTGAACTTTTATTTTCAAATTTGAACACCACGCTGTGTTTAAAAAACGATTTGAAAATTGCCACAAACTTATCAGGAAGAAGTTTACTGAAGCTGGTGGAAGTGAGCTCCTTTTTTTTTTTTTTTTTTATAGATTTTAAAACATGCTAATTTCTTGGATCTGCCCCTGCTGGTTATAGGAAAGAATGCAGCTGTAAAGACCTTCCACATTCAAACATACTGTATATGTCCACTTCTTATTAACAGTCTATTCAAATAGATTAAGGTGCATTTCATAATGTCCCTCCAAACCCTGCTGAGCAACAGATGAATCAACACGGGCAAGAAGCTGAGATGCCTTTAGGGAGCTTTGCCCTCATAGTTCTTCAAATAAAAGTTAAGATGGGTTAGAGAGAACTTCACAATGGTCTTTAGTTGTTATTATGTCTTGTGCCGCTGGATGTTTCCAAAGCCATCTTAGGGACGGCAGAGTGTCCACAGGGAGACGAATAATGTAGATTTGAAGGCTCAAGATATGTTCGTTATTGTGTTGGAAACAAGTTGATAATAATCCGCTGCAGTTCTGCTAGCAGGTTTAAAAAATTAATGCTGTCTATTAGTGACCTAAGCCTTAGACTCAGGTGTTCAGAGAAAAGTCTTACATACATGTTTGTTGATGCAGCGTGCGAGAGTTCCAGTGTTAGAGATGCAGTGTGTGGGTTGTGTGTAGGTTGATTTTAGTTTTAGACATGTTTTTAACTGTCCTGCAACTTTCCTCTGCCGAGGGTTCAGAGCTGAAAAGTTTCACCAGATGCCTGTAAATCGTTGTCCCCTGACTGACTGTTTTTGTCATGCTAAGGAGCTCCCAGCAGGTCCTCACTCACAGATACACTTCAGCAGATCTTCAGATTCAAAGCTCAGCTGCATCCTTTCATTCATCAAATCAGCGCAGAGCTTGTTCATCTCTCTCCTCGTTCTGCTATATGCACTTCATATGAGTTCAGAAAGTTAATGTTCATGCCTTAAATCAATGACCTCTACTGTGTGCAGAGGAGGTACCTGGATTGTTTTATTGTGGCCCCTATAGAGGATCAATCCCTCCCTTTCTTAACACCCTTCTACGTGGCTAATTGATTTTCATTTGAAGTAACAGTCATCATGTACTGGGTGTGTGAGGGAGCAAAGTGTCCTGCAATGTGTTGTGTGTTTAATGTTATATTTACATACATCTGCGTCAAATCTTTTCATTTCTTGTTCTAAATTAAGTAAGCTAACTTTTTCTCCTTTTTTTGCATTCCTGAAGTTTGTGATGTGTGTACGGGTGCATGTATGACAAATACAATGTTTTTTTGTTGTTGAATTTTCTATTTATTCAAAAAGAGGGGGTTTAATGGGGAATGGTACAGTTTGTTGTTTTTTCTCATTGATTTTTTTTCTGGCAGGAAGCGATTATCACTCTTTCTTCCCGACTGATTAATGTGTCATTCAATGGAGGGGATGTGTCTATAATTAGCTTCTCATTACTAGCACCTTCACGTCTTAATCCTCCACTTTAATGACCCTTCCCCTGTTCTTCCTTCTGAGCATGTGCAACCTTTGCATTGGCTAATAGTGCAAAAATAAAAACAATTGGAAAAAAACTTCATAAATACAGATGTCTTAGTGATGGCAGACATCTCGATGTTGCAGGCAACATTGCTTATCTGAGGCTGCACATGTGTTCTCGTGGGTCACCCCTGGGTGCCTCAGACTGTCCTGTATGTGTAAATTATTCAAACTACTTTCAAGTGATTGTTTCAGTTCCTCGAATCTAGCCTGAAATCTCGTCCGTATCTGAAAAGTTTTTAACTGACAGCAACTCAACATGTTCAGCTTCTTTTGTTAGTAAGAAGATGGCTGTACCATACTTTTGTTACCCTTTATAATGTGTCTTATAATCCATCTATCCCAGCCTCTTTATTTTTAATTTTTTTCGTTTGCAGAGTGTGAGCATGTGTGTGTTGATTTTTGGTTCTCTGCAGAACAAATGCAGTGCCTTGTTCAAGTGAAATGTTGGATAATTCATTCAAATCAGGAAGTCGTTTGATGTCAGGTCACGGTGAACGAATGCAATGTTTTCAGGGTTTGTGTGGTTTTTTTGTTTGAATAAAGAAGAAGTAACTTTCACACCAGGGTTGAAATCAAATCACCTTCAGTCAAAATGCACAAAAAAAGAACATTACACTTCTGAAAGGTTTCCAAATTGAGACAAAGGTGTCTCATGATCTATTGAAGAAAAACAAAATGTTTACAAGCGTTATCTCGTGGCAGGACTTCCTGGTTTGGTAGGACTCCCTGGTTTAACAGGTCGAAGGTGAATTGACTCCAGCCCTGACTGAGTTTCTTTTCAAAGTGCTTTTAAGAAACACATAACAATCATTCACTCTTAACTCTGTTATTTTACAAAATGTTATTTTTGTTGTTACATACTGGCAAAAAAAAAGAAGCAGGTTTTGTACTTATGAACTCTTAATTGGCCCAACTCTGGCCTTTTGTATCGGATTTCTTCAACAAAAATAAAAAGGGATTGTTTTGATTTGATCCTCCGAAACGCAGCGTCTCTCTCTGAACAACAGACAGAAATACAACACGTGTCAGACCAGGAAAGGAGGAATAAGTGCAAGTTGGTTTGGGAGAAATTAAATAAATTTAGATGATAAATCAAGTCAGGGGGAGGGGAAGCTGAGAGAGACCGGGACACACAATTAAAACCAACTTTTAATCAAAATTATCTCACAATTTAGCATAATAATAAAACTCAAGAGCTGGGAGCACAGCAGGAAATGAAACAGAAAATAAATCAACATAAAAGGGTCAATTACTAATTTCCTGCAGTTTTCTTCACTACCTATGAACAGTTACTCACCTTTGCCTCTAGAGGGCGCTCTTCGACCAAAACTGCACAACAAGGAAAGCAAACAAGCATTAAAACATTTCAGCTGATAAAGACCGACCTTAGATTCATATTCATTTCAGAAATGTTTCCTGTTATTGATTCAAACTGAATGAAGTGTTTCAGTCCCTCAGTCCATTCCTGGAGATCAACCAAAACAAAATCTAATCAACAAAGCTTTATTGATATCTCACCTTACATACAAATCAAATCTGTCTCTAGTGAGTTTGTGGACGTAAAGGGAATAAAAAATGAGTCATCAGGACATCTCGAGTCTTTGAAAACATCAGTGTTGTTGTGATACAGAGCCTCCAGTAATCTGAGGTCTTTAATTAATGGTTAGATGTTTTGTGTACAATATCCTCTGGAGCAAATATTTGTATTGACTATTCAAATGATTTGAACTCTTGAAGTCCAAGTGATAAAAACAAACAGCTGAGCTATTTCCAGAAAAAGCTAATTAATATTTCCCACCATTTCTAACTATTGTTGTTGAATTTGAGACATCATTTATAAACCATTTTCATTAAAGGTATTATTTCAGATTTTTCCCTTTTTCTTCCTCGCGGTCACATTTAGCAATGCGCTTTGTAAAATATCTTTGCAGCCACTTCTTTTGCTTTTTTAAGTGACTTCAAAGCTCATTTGTCGTTGCATTGGGATTCACTTCACTTCACTTCAACCTTCACTGGCTGCTGATGTTCCCCACATGACAGTACCAGTTTAATCATTGTTAAAATAATAATTACTAGCTAAGTATGGACGATCGTTTGCAGAAGATAACACAGAAATGTTGCTATGATGATGGATGACCACAAGAAAAAGAAAGAATGAAAAGTTCAAGTCTTTGAACATTTATTGGAAATTCCTCAGTGATTTTTCCAAAGAAAGGGCGGTCAAAGTATTTTTGTTTCAGAGGAAAGGTGTACCCGCGATCCCGCATAATACTTAAAGCACTTCCTGTAGATGATACGGGTATGTGTGATTACTGAAGGCGTGTGCACTGAGTCATCTGTTGAGGTGGAAAAATCAGTGGCATTACAAAAAGCCTCTGCCTTTATTCCTTTGTATTGACTGTACTGAGTCAAGTGATTGCAGCAGAGTCATTGAAAGAAGACCATGTCCTAAATTTAAGATGATTACATGTGATGCTAGATTTCAGCCACATTTTGTTAAAAAAGTGAGAATACATTTCCTTAATCTGTTACCAAATCTAGAAATCTTTGCCTGTTTTTTTAGTGTAGCTTTACTGGTTGACCAGTTGACTTGTTTTAAGTCTGGCTGCACCAAAAATCTTGGCGACTGATATTGTCTTGTTTTTTCTCAGATCATCGTTTTGCTCATCGCAACTCATTTCCTCCCCCATTTCTTTTATTTTCCTCTCAGGATTGAGAGCTGACTTATTACTTCTGATTGGGTCTTTGAAAGGCCAAGTCCCTGACACACTGTGCAGCTTCTTTTTTAGAGTCAACTAAACATTTTAAACTAGCTGAGACAACCACTTGCTTCTCTTCAGTTGGTATTCTCTCATTATATTTTGTGTATGACCTCTTAAAGCGCCTGCGTTCCCTCTCTGAAGAAGTGAAGAAGACCTCTCGCTTGCTCTTTCTCTCGTTCTTTCTTCTCTCTCTCTGTCTCTCTCTCTCCGCTCTTTCTCTCTCTTTTTGCATCAGGTATTCATTGTGCTATACCAGCATTTTATGGTTGAATTAGTAACTTTTGCATCATTTCGTTATTGTTTTTTTTTCTGTCAGTGTGATGGCACTGTAGGAAATGTTTTTCTTTTAATGTGCCTGAATCATCCCATAAGGAAGGGGTCGGATATGAAAATAAAGATTCATTCATTCATTCTTTCATTCCTTTGGTTAAAACAAATGCTGTTAATAGGTTTGGTTTGCCACTGAGGACTAGTATTACCAGTAGATAGAGACAGCAAAAAAAAAAAGAGGGAGCATGAGATGTTTATCAGTGTGAAGGTGGAGCCTGCTTGTCATTCCTTCAGACGCTTGTAAATCCTTGTGTCAGATCATGGACTGCATGCAGCAGAAAACACACGACCCTCATGGTGAGTTTACAATGTGAAGGAGAGAGAATAATAGGATTAAACATTCTTTAGTCAAGAACTATTGTTTGTTTTTGTTTTCAATGACACATGATGAGAAAAACTTATATTGCTAGTAATTGTTTTTAACCTTTATCTGCAAAACTTTCCTCTTATAATTTCCCCTTTTTTAATGTTAATTCCAGCTCCGGCTGCACTTCTCAAGTATATGATGGATCATTCTAATTTCTCATGCAACCTGTTTTTTCCAGTGTTTTATTCTAGATCAGCATTGTTTTCATAATCTGTGTTTTACGCTACTGTTGAGGGCCAGTGCCGACTGAAGCTGGTCAACTATGAGGCTTCCGAGAACCACATTTCCCATGAGACGGAGGGGCTCAGCAGAAAACACCTGGTTGTGCGGCGAGGGAAACCGTTCAAAATCACTCTGATGTTTGGTGGCCGGCCGTGGAATCCTCATATCGAGAGCCTGGTCCTGGAGGTTTGGCTAGGTAGCAAAGAGATTGAGCATGCATTTAAATGCTTTGAATGAAGCAGTTGTGTGTTTCTGGGGGAAGGTTCCTGTGTTAGAAATGGGGCCCTGGATGAGGAACGTTAGGGAAAACAGAGGTGGAGTTTTTACAGTTCAATTTTGTTTCGATTTTTTTGCACACAAAGAAATAAAGCTTATGGAATTGTAAAGTAGACATGGGTCAGAGCCAGGGACAGTATGGAGCAAAGACAGGAAAGATAAAACAGACAAAACAGACAATGTCAGAAAACACAAACAAATGACATGAAACAGAGTTACTTACTTTGAATTTGTGTTTTCAAGATGCCACAAGTTATCTGTTATTTCATTTTTCATTACAGGGGATGTGTCAGAGAAAATCAGAGTCCAGTTCTCCGACGAGTGGTCCGACCCCTTAAGATGGTCAGCCAAAATCTACCAAAGCGACATGCATCCTCAGTCAGTCATGGTCCACATCTGCTCCCCGGTCCTGTCCTCAGTGGCTCTTTATGAACTCCTTCTCCACATTGAAACCAGACGGACCAGAAGGAGCTACGTAGTGGGAACATTTGTCCTGCTCTGCAACCCCTGGCTGAAAGGTCGGTCCATGTAATGTCATAATTCTGCTTCTTCATCTTGTCAAAGAAATTATGTTTGCTGTCGCGTTTTGGGTTGAGAGATCAAATGCTTGATGTTGCATTCAGAAGTCATAAACAAAGGCAATCTGAAGAAAAATATATTCTAAGATTTCACAACTTTTCCTCTTTTTGATCCAATTCAATCAAGAAGCAGTGAAATTGTGATGACTTTGGACCCAGAAGTACGATTAAACGTTACATTATAGCAGCATTTGTACTTTCCTACCTCAACATGATGTCAGAGGAAAATGGCCGCCATGTGAATACACTGAATTTATTTTTCAGACGACCCGGTGTACATGCCACTGGGTGTCCAAACACAAGAGTACATTAAAAGTGACTACGGGATGCTGTACATGGGCACTCCTCTCAACATCAGCAGGCAACCCTGGTCGTTCGGTCAGGTAAGCCACACATTTTTTAAATAAAAAGATCACCTATAATAACACATTTGAGCTACATTGGGGTTCTGTTTGTGCAGTATGAGCCTGGGGTCCTGGAGGCATGTCTGCGGCTCCTACAGGTCAGCCCACAGCACCTGAGGGACAAAAACAAAGACTACGCTCTGCGAGCAGACCCTGTGTACCTCAGCAGGACGCTCTGCGCTATGGTGAGAGACAAATAATGTATTTACTGGATGTGCTGTAGATGTGTTCAAACAGTATTTGCCATCATTGCCCCCTAAAACGGTTAGTAATGTGTCTCCTCCAAGGTAAACTGTAATGACGACCTGGGGATTTTGATGGGGAAGTGGCAGGGCAGCTATAAAGATGGCGTCAAGCCTACAGAGTGGAGCAGCAGCGCTGACATCCTTCACCACTGGTTCAGATCCAGCTGCAGGCCTGTGCGCTACGGACAGTGCTGGGTTTTTGCTTCTGTCCTCTGCACAGGTACTTTAAATAATTGGGACTCAGGGATGTATTAGTGCCAAAAGCATGGATGACATTTGGGTTTATCAAGTGTTCTCCATCTGTCCCTTGGATTTCAGAAAGTTAGTTCAGGTTACTGATAGGATCAACTAAACTCTAACACATCTTTTTATTTAAACTGTGATACCTGTAACGGTAAATTGGTAATCCTTTCAGAAAAATAACACTATTAATCCGTTTTGTTCCTTCTGTTTGTGCCGTCACATGTTTCATACCGTCGGAGGTCCATGCTTCACACTTTTTCATTCAATAAATCTGATTGGTTGAAAAAATATCCAAAATTTGGGTCCCAATTTTCATGAATGAGTTAGTGGGGGGCCTTAGGCTAGACCAGTTGAGAACCACTGATCTATGGGATTGTCATTGGTTTGCCACATATTTTACTAATTAGGCCTAACATTTTGTACCTCTCTTGATTATTTCAAAATCGTCTTCTTTCTAGTTTTCACAATCGTGTTTTTTCTCCTCTCTCTTAGTGATGAGAGTGCTGGGGATTCCCTCCAGGGTGGTGACAGTTTTTAACGCAGCCCATGACGGTGATGGCAGCTTGTCAGTCGAAGAATATTACACGAGCACAGGCGAAAAGCTTAACCTGTCAAAGGACAGCATTTGGTAGGTTTCAAAATCCTCCAAATTAAACCTACATTAATTTTTGCTCTCTCAAAATGCTTACTTACTTATCATATGATAGTTTAAAATACATGTGTGCAGCTGTTCATGTATGTTCGTCTTCTTGCAGGAACTTCCATGTGTGGGTGGAGTGCTGGATGAGGAGACCAGACCTCGGCTCTGGGTTTGACGGCTGGCAGGTGGTGGACCCGACACCCCAGGAGAAGAGTGCAGGTTGGTACATGCACCATCTGTCATCAATGAACAGCAACCTTTACAATTAGAATATTAAACCAGCCTGGTGGATGTGTCAGAAACTGCAATACCTCGATTGGCCACATGTTTAGTTAGTAGTGTTGTTGCCTTTTCAGGGAATTGTTCATACACATTTTGGACAAATATTAAAGGTCACATTATGCAATTTACACTTCAACAAGATCTTTCAAACACTAATATGTCTGTTTACAAACCCCCCAATTATGAGAGAAGTCCATTCTCTCCATCTTTTGCCTGCTCCACTTTTCTGAAAATGTGTACTCAAACAGACTGTTTGGAGATTTTTAGTACTTCTCCCCATAAACAATAGGGCATGGTGCAAGAATGCCAGAGCCACATCCCCTTCCAGAGAGGGGGCGTGGTCAGGCACAGCTCATTTACATTTAAAGGTACAGACACAGAAACAGCCTGTTCTGAGCAGGGCTGAAATAGAGGGGTTTATAGATATTATAAAGTACAGGATTGGGGTGGATTTTTAACAAGACACTTCACAGGCATGTTTTGGGGAGCTCAGAGACTTATTTAAAGTTGTTGAAAAAAGTTGAATATATATGACCTTTTATGGCGTAATGAGCAGTTACACTAACAGAATCAACTATTTTTTTTCTCACACTATTTGATTCAGACTCATAGTCCACAAACCAGTGGATGATGTCATGGTGGATTCATCAATTATTTGGAATTTGATTCTTTGATTCTGTAATTCTGTAATTCTTTTCCATATTTGGACAATGATCTTAAGGCACAAAGTGAAAAATAATTGTGTCAAACGCTGAGTACTTAACAATGAACATATCCTTCTCTGCAGGGATATACTGCTGTGGCCCTTGCCCTGTTGTTGCCATCCAGCAACATTGCCTGGGCGCCCTCTACGACTCCGGCTTTATCAGTGCTTCAGTTGATGCTGACATCATACGTCTGATTGTGAGTGATGGACTGGTGGTGGAGAGGACGGTGGACACTGAGGCAGTGGGACAGCTGATCTACACCAAGAGCATCGGCTCAGACCGACCAGAGAATCTGACACCTGCTTATAAGGGCAAGAAAAGTAAGACAATGTCCTCCTAGAAAAAGATTTCCTCTCATTTATAATGTTATAAGAAATAGGTCAGATTCACATATGTTCAAAAGATAAGGACAAATAACTTAATTGTTTGAGTTAAATTAAAGGAGCAATATGTAACTGACACATAGCTTTTAGAAATTGGTACTGGAGTCCAGATTCAAACCTTTGGAGAGACCTGTATCATCACTAGAGTCGATGCTCATGCAGGTTGCCATGTGGTGGACACTGAAGCTTTAGTGTTTATCCAGATCTGTAAACATTTCTGCGTTTTAACCTCTCTCCATTTTTCAAAAGCATCGCCAATATTGATCCATTCTGCTCGTGGAGCTTATTAGAAACATGCAGAGGCTTTTTAGGTCGGCTACAATCACCTCTATCTGAACCACTTCTCTTGCCCGCTTCCATCGCTGTAACACCTGTTGCTTTGACCTGATAACTGCTCTCATATCTGGCAAACTGAGGGGCATCCAAAACGGCCATGTGGGGGTGTGCCTTAAAAGCGCCTACCTTCTCTGGTCCAAACAAATCCAGAGCATTCAGGACCAGAATCTAAAGTTTGAAGGAGGACATACTGGCTGCTGCATTGTTGTCAGAGAAGCCAGCACTTCAACATGTTTCCTTAATGTCTGATCATATAGTAAGGTCACTTTATCATTTCAGTCAGTAGATATCTTACATATTGCTCCTTTAAGTTAAAATAAAAATTTACTTCTTCATCTGGTTTATCCTTTGACAACGTTCAAGAGTTTGATTTTATACTTTTAAAAAAATAGATCCTGAGGTCTGTGTTTGTATCCTAACAGCCTATTTAACTTTCTATACCCAACTTTCCCAAACTGACACAAGCAATTTGTTTAAGTGATAAACTTCTTTTCCAATGTCTTCCCTCTCTCAGGAGTTCAACCAACAGGAGCTGTAAGATGCACACCAAGAAGTGGTACGATGATTACAGCGTGCCATAATCCTCCCCCCTCCCCCATATTTCCTCTCATGAATGTCAAAAACATTTTAACACTTTTTTTTCTGTTGTTTTTCAGCGCGGCAAAATGCCACAGTGATGGTGAACAAGTGCAATGGTCAGTGGAAACAATTTTTGTCTGTTCTGGAAAGCTTGATTTTCCAGTTAGTAAATTAATCGAAGAAAAAGAAATAAGGCATGCACCAATGCATCAGATCAACATCGGTATCAGCCGATATTGAACTTCTGATTCAGAGTAAAGGTTTGTTATCGGGCAGATGAAGTGACCTGGTGAACAAACTCTGACTTGTTTTCATGTCAAACATGAGAGAAAATGTTGCATTGTGGGAGTCTTACACCAAAAGAACTCTTGAAACAAACATCGGTATCGGCCCTGATTTTCCCAATCGGTGCATCTAATAATAATAGTTTATACTTTATTGATCCCGCGAGGGGAAATTCGTTTTTACACTCTGTCTAGTTAACATGCTACACAAACATAGGCTGAAATACACACACAGGACCCTATGGACATGCACTAATGGAGAGATCTCAGAGTAAGTGGGCATTCCTGAGCTGGTGGGGGGGTTAAGTGCCTTGCTCAAGGGCACCTTGGCAGTGCTCAGGAAGTGGACTGGCACCTCTCCAGCTACCAGGCCAATTTCCGGACTTGGTCCGTGCCGGGACTTGAACCAGTGACTCTCCGATTCTGAACCCAAGTCCCTACAGACTGAGTTACTGCCACTCACCTCTAAAAGAAACAAGTTCTGCATTTCAATAAAGACAGCAAAATGATCCATTTATCCTGGTCCATTGTATGTGAACGGAGCCTATAGTAAGTTCAAAGCATGTATTCATGTTAAACCTGTTTTTCTTCCCTCTACCCAAAACTTAGGATTTATCTTCTTGAAATACCGATCACATTTTTTACCCATTTAACGCAGACTCTCTCTTACAGTGGCGTTTGGTTACTCATGTAGCCCGATGCAGTCCAGCCCACTGCTCAGTGCAGCAGGTACGTTTTGATTCCTGTCATACTGCCTCCTACTCACACTGGGTTTATGTCGACATTTACAGTGTACAAGTACAAACACTGTCATTATCTGAGGCTCCATTCACAGAGGCCTGTAATCTCTTAGGATCTTTGCAGCGCTGCAAGTCAAAGTAACATTAGAAAACAATGTTGCACTCCAAAGTTACACCCATTTGAGTTGTGCCTGAGAATAAAGCTCGAGATTAGATAAAATCAGATTACAAAACTTTATTGATCTGCACGCTCTGCAGTCCTTGAAGGGGGCAGCCAAGGTTCAAATCCGACCTGTGGGTCCTTCCCCACATATCATTCCCCAGTCTCTCTCTCTCCCTAATTTCCAACTCTATCCACTGTACTGTCTCTCCAATAAAGGCACAAAAAGCCCCCCCCCCCAAAAAAAAGAAAACAAAAAAAAAAAAACACTAGTTAGCAAGGTTTACTTGTTGAGTGTCTAGAAATGAGATGTACAAACTTATTTAGATATAGATATCAAATTTTAAGATACCCAAGTCAATTTTGCTTGCTGGTTGATGCAAAGTCAACATTTGAATATAAATGACGCCAACCTTCCTGAGGCCCCCGCCCCCTTGCCTGTGACTCTGTAACCTGCGTGTCTTTGGTTTGAACAACTCAGGAGGTCCTTTATTCCTGCAGCAGTCCAATATTTTAATGAACATTTTTCATCTCTGGCTTATGATAAGTGTAATGTGATATTTTTGGTTTAAGGTTAGACAGATACACTTTTGATTACGTTTTGCTGTGTATTACTAGCAGGGTTTCCAGGAGGCTCGTCACAAGGTTTGGAGGTGTCCCTCAACATAGATGGGGTGCCATCAGTGGGCGACAGTATCGTCATGTGTGTGACGCTCTCAAACCAGTCAAGCAGCCCCAGAGTCGTGATGGAACACCTCAACGCTCAGGTCAAAGAATTTAACAGAAGCCCACAAGAGAGCTTCTGGAAAACACACAAAAAGATGCACATAAAGGCCGGGGAAGGTGAGGAGTCCTGCTCGACTAAACCCTAACAACAAACACCAGCGATCATTTGCATCTTTCTGTTTACATTTGCTTTCCCATATTCATTTTTAAATCCTGCACATTCTCTGCAGTTTTGAAGCTTAACCACACCATCCCTACCTCTGAGTATGAGGCGTACCTGGCAGGTGACGACATTGTGAACGTTGCCGTGGTGATAAAAGACTTAAAGACCAACAAGCGCTTCCTGGCTGCACAGGAGTTCAACATAAGCTCACCTCAGATAGCAATAGAGGTACGGAAACATCTAGAGTCCCTTATCTTCAGCTCATTTTATGTATAAAGTATTGTTTTTCATTTCTTCTCTTCCTACTTCTCTTTGTGCACTTTGACCTCTTCCATTGATGTCACTCATACAAGATGAGATGAAGGTACTATTTAATGAAGACCAAAGCCAGAAAGGACCTCCCCGTCTAATCATTTGGTTTTATCCACAGATCGAGGGAGGGGACACTATCAAGCTGAAGGACGAGCACACAGCTCAGGTTTCCTTCATCAACACGTTTCCCAGAACTCTGAATGGAGCCGTGCTGACTGTAGAGGGATCGGGTCTGTTAGAGGGCAAACACCAGGCCAGGTAAATGTGTTTACATCCGGACTCAAAGAGATACAGTAAATCCTGTGCCAAGGCACACCTCTAGTTGTCGCAATCATTGCCCCTTAAGACAGAAAACAAAACAATGGGTAAAACACTCACATTCCTGTTATGTCACACATGCTCTTTAATGCTTGAGCTGATAGATAAGTCAGTATGTCGTTCAGAGGAATGTGGTTTGGGAATGCTGCCAGGTTTGTTTTTGCAGCAACATAAAGAACAGTGTTGTTACATCTGAATGCATTCTAATAGCTGTGTAGTAAAAGCAGCTACCTCCCTATTTCTACCTACCTAACTAATTTCTTTGTCCTGTAGCTGACCTTCTGACATCCCTCCTTAAATGTGCACTATGTAGATTTGGTGATGAAATTTGAAAGTTAGAGAAATGAAACAATTTTATGCTTTATTTTCTGAACTTAATACACAAACTTTATTCAAATAAAAATTGGGTCTCTGGGAACACTGTTTAAAGCTAAAAAAGCTACCAGGAGAGTTACGGTTTCACTTGGGTAAGACTTAACCCCAAGTTGTTCCTGCTGCTTCCTGAATGTGTATGAATGGATGAATTCATACTGATGCACACTTTACACAGCAGCCTCTGGCATGAGCATGTAAATGTGTAGGTGTGCTTTGAGTAGTCAGAAGTGTAGAAAACTGCTCTAAAAGCTCATGTCCATTTACCATTTTCCACACGTATCACACTTGTCTTTTCACTCTTTTGTAATTTGAAACTTCAGTTATTTTGGATATGCCTGTTTTCCAATTGTAAACAGTCGATCTCCAGACTGTGTCAGAGCTGGCCTGGAGCTTCTCTGTGTTCCTTGGTTAATCCTATCATTCTGAAACGATGTTTTCTTTTGTCTTTCCTAGGCTCGTTTTTCTGAAGCCTGGAGAGAAGATAGAGAAGCAGATGTCTATTGTGGCCTCTTCACCTGGGACGAAAGTACTGATGGCAACTTTCTCCCACAGCAACAGCCCCAGTGTTGTTTCCAGAAGCTTCCACAGAGTGTCCGTCATGACCGACTGACACTGAAGAGGGCATCCCCCCAAAAGCATCAACAGCAAGAAACTGTTTTTAAATTCCTTTTATATGTCACAAACAGATACAATAAGAACATATAGAATCAATATGGCAGCTATAATGTGATAAATGAATGTTTAATATAGGAAATAAAACACTGTCATCTGTCTAGTTTAAGTCTTCCACATTCTAGAACGCTAAAACACTAAACACTAACGAAAATCTGTACATGAAACAGTATAAAGAACACTTCTGTCCTCATGTGACCTTAAAATAAAACGTTATCACAACGATCGGATTGAGAGAGCAATCGTGCAATCGAAGAGATTTTAACCCTTTAGTATCTCATGTATCACAGGACATTTTTGACTTCCTTCCAAATGCAAGTCTAGACTTATAATCCTGTCCAACAAGTAAGAGTTACAAGACTTAAGCCACAGAAACATGCACCGTCACACAGCTGTTGGACTTCTGAGAAATATATATTTACAAATAACAACATGCCTCACGATGAAAATACAAGAACTTTGATTCCATTTCCCCTATTATTATGAAAACAGACCATTTTCATTGACAACCCAGGGAGCAATCGTGAAAATATTGCCCAATTTCATACGATCCATTAAGTATCACAGACTACACGGCTATTCGTGGGCTAATCAATAATATTACATCAGAATCCCAATCAGAAATGCTTTTACTATTTATGGAATATGTAACGGTGCTAGAGAGATAGTCCCCACACTCTGAGAACCAGGGTTACATATTGTTGTAACCATGGTTACAAACCTTACATTTGCTGTGCTCCTTCCAGCTCTGTGCACCTGAAGCCAATACGAGATCACAGGTGATGTAAATTAAGTTATTTTTGACAGGTGTAAATTGTTGCAATGTCCCTTTACAGCTCAGGTTAGACTGATCTGAGCTGCTATACAAAATAACACCACTAGGAGGCAGCATTGCAGTATTTTCTTTGTCCATGTCAGACGACTTTCTCTCTGATAAACACTGAGACTGAAAATGAGACGAAAAAGTGTAAAAAAAATATCACTTTGTGCTCTGAAATGACTCTTAGCAGTCAGGGTTCTGGGATCGTTACCTGTATAGAAGGGACTTGATAAGAAGAAAAAAAAGCTGGACAGGCATTTGACCTCATTTGGCGATGTATTTCAAAGAACCAACTTTGAAGGCACAATGCAGCCTTGAAATGTCATCATGAGGACGTCAAGACACCGATCTACTGGGATTTAAAGATGCAATAACTTCCTAAATTAAACTTTTTCAGAACATATACACATTAGTTTATTATGGAATTCAGACGTGAAGAAGAGTTCCCTTAATCTCAATCAAACAAAGAAACACGATGAGCTCATTAGCTGAAGTCGTTGATTCAGGGACTAGTCAGATTTGTTGTGGAAGGACAGATAGCATTTGTGATGAGTAGACCCTGTTTTTCACTCACACGCTTTAAAGAGTCATGGTTTGTGGTGTGCAGGTGTGAGGTCTCGGGGTCTGTCTGAATCATCATATGTGTGCGCAATCAGAGGACTTTAGTGTTAAATATCGGTTGAAACTGTCCTCATGCCTGACGTCTCCCTCGTTTTTTAAATCTGTTAAGATTTGAAAACCGCCGTTGTAGAATAAAATAATGTAATATTTGGCTGAAACACTTAAAACAATCATTGACTGTTGAATCAAAGATTGGTATTTTAAATCCTAATTCAACATTTTATGACCCGTCTATTAGCGAGATTTCACATAGTTACATTTTCTCTAACTTTCAGCTTAAGTTTAGAAAAGGGAAACTTGCTTTTTTATACTGTTGGAGCTGTTTTCTAACAAGAGGGAGCTTCAACTTTATCAGAACATTTTGCACTTTCTAATCCTGGTTCTCCTCTATGATGCACAAAGGATCCACAGTGGCAAAAGGCAGATTGCAAGAGAAGCTAGTAAACTATAAAAAAGAAAGCAAGAGCTATTCTTTGCAGAAAACAGGCCAATCAAACCGCCTGTAAAACTATAGAGGGAGCTCAGATGGGGCCACTTCAGTACACGTCAATGTTACAGTCTTATAAATGGGATGATACAGAAGATCTGAGGTCTGTATTTGGACATTTAATTCCAGGAGGTTGAGAGTTGCTTTACAAAGATTCGCTGTGTCTGTACAGCTGCAGCTTAAAGACAAGGATTGTTTTCACCCAAGGTATGCTGGGCTGACATGTGTGTACCGAACAGCTTGTGATCTCACCTCAGTGTCAGGGAGATTGAGGCGGAGGCGTTGGCAGACGGAGACGATAATCAGACTCCACGCTCGCTGATTTTCAGACAAATTAAACGTCAGGGGAAAGCAGAGAGCGGGACCGCTGGGCTGCTTTGAAAAGCTGAGGCTATCATAAATTATTAATGGCTCCCCGTCACGGCCTCCCTCTCTTCATCCCTCGCTCTTTTCAACCATCCTGTTCTCCATCCATCTCTCGCTCCTGGCTCCTCAGTGGTATTCAAACTTCTGCTTTACTTTGTTTTTCCTCTCCTCTCTCCTTTCTCTCCTTCTTGCCTAATCGGTGCCAACCACTTTCTCTTCTCATCAGTCCTTCCTCCCTCCTTTGTCTCCCAGGTCTGTTTCACTCACTCCCCCCCCTCCTCGCTGCCTCCTTTTTGACTTCACTGATTTCCATTCCTCCCATCCAGCTGCTCTTCATTACCTCTTCCCTCCTTTATCTTGATCACTTTTTCCTCTTTTGCATATCCCTCCTTTTCTTTGTCATTCCATCCTCCATCTCTTTACCCTACCTCTTTATCTTTAAACCGTTTATGCCTCCTTTTCTTCAAAGTGTTTTCTTCTTCACCTCCTACCCTCTCTTACTTCTTTCATATGGTATCAAAGACAAGCAAATAATTTTGTTTGTTATGCTGGTTTACTGAACGCTCAAGGATTTGAAGCAATGTTTGAACACTTTACATCCAATGCCCTTCATGGATGGAGAGTTTAAAGGCTTGCTGGTGTGTGAATTTGATACAGGAGACATTAATTTGCATTGCTTTGCAGACCTGCAATTCCTTTTTTTTTAAAGGATGACAATGATGTTTCCTCACCTTTCCATAGAAGAGGTTTTTGTTGTTTTTTGACTTGCAACAATTATTAACACGTGCAATTTACGTTGCAAAACGATTGGTTATTTAGGCACCAAAAGTACTTGGCAAAGGAGGAGAAAGATGCTGGTTTGGATTTAAATATGTATTAGTAAACACATGCCAGTTACCTAATGTAACCTTGGTAAGTTAATAAGAAAGTTAACTTCTTACAAACCAGGTCTTTTGGATGAGAATGTAATGTTTGTTTGACCCATGCGTTGTCCCTGTTTGCTGCCCCAAGTGGACGTACACGATCAACCATAATATTACAACCACAGGCAGGTGAAGTTAAATAAGACAATAACATTGATTATCTCTTTACAATGGCACCTGTCAGTGGGTTGGACAGGTTAAGCAGCAAGTGATAATTTTCTCCTCAAAGTTGATGTGTTGGAAGCAGGAAAAATGGACAAGGACAAAGGTAAGGATGTCGGCAAATTTGACGAGGGCTAAAAATGTGACGGCTAGACGACTGGGTCAGAGCATCCCCAAAACTGCAGCACTTGTGGGCTGTTACAGGTCTGCAGTGGTCAGTACCTGCCAAAAGTTGTTCAAGGATGAAAAATCAATGAAGCGGTTTCAAGGTCACGGGCAGCCAAGGCTCACCGATGTGCTTGGAAAGAAAGGGCCATAGACTGTGTGATCAAATACAACAGAAGAGCTTCTTCAGTTCATGCTGAATCTGATAGAAAGGTGTCAGAACACACAGGGTATGACAGTTTGTTGCATATAGGGCTACCTAGCTGCATACTGGGGATGGTGCGCATGCTGACCCCCTGTCGATTTTGCTGAAAGCACCTACAATGTGCGTGAGAAGATGGTGGCCTGGATGAAGCTCAAAAGTTCATGGTGTTGACTTGATCTACAAATTCCCCAGATCTCAATCCACTAGAGTGTCTGTGGGATGTGCTGGACAACCAAGTCTGATGCATGGCCTCACTCTTAATGGACTTAAAGGATCTGCTGCTAAAGTCTTGGTGCTAAATACCATAGCACACTTTTATTTTAAATATCAAATTATAGCACATCAAAATAATACTCTTCAGATCAGTCACAAGAAATTACCCAGGGGATGAAGTGTCATTTTTTTGCTGCCTTGGGTGACTGGCCAAGCTTCAATACTTGACCACTTGATATCCAAACAGTCTGCAAATACTTAAGTGCTTGGTGCTCCTCCTGTTGTCTTGCTTTTAGAAGCAGAAGTTTGTAAACTTCCTGCTGCAAGTCGACAAGAGAACAAGCAGCGAGGGAGCAGATTGATGGATGTGTGTTTGATGGATACCACTGAACAGATGGAACAGCTGCAAAAGCCTTGAAGTGGCCGTCCATCCTCAAACTTGTGTGAGCAATCCGAGGCAGGATTTGCAATGGGGTCTATACATCAGATTTAAAGCTGGAGCTTCAACGTGAGATTGTAAAAGAAAAAAAAAGAGAGATTCGTTCAAGATTTTATGAGGGCAAAATGGACTCTTCCAATTGTTATTCCAAAGTACGGGCCTTCTCATTTAAGCAGAGAACATTTGAGAATTCTAGTCAAAATGGTTCAAGCGATTACATATTCAGGGATCTCATTTCTCACTGTATTGAGATGGTCTTTAACTGCTCGTAACACTCTCTGTCTTCTGCTTCCATTACACAAACACACTAGCATGCACCTCGACCAGCAACCCCTGCGAGCTGCAATAAAGGCGCCGCTGATAATTATGATAATGACTCTAGCTTCTGTCTGCCGTCTATTGTCACCTGGTAATGAGTTTGTCCTGAAGGTCATTGCTGTAATAGCTCATTAGCAAAGCGGGCTAATGCTGCTCTGTGATGTAGCCCACAATAGCCGGAGGTGCACTGGTCAGCCGGGCTATTTGTTTTTTTATTCA